AGTAGAATAACTTGTATATTTGAATAGGTTATAGGGAGGCTGGCTAGGTCCTGAGTTATATTATAATTCATGACAGAAGAGAACTGAATGGGAATATAGCAAAAATCTGTGTTCTGTTGCTGATACTGCCACTAGCTGTCATGATTCACTTTTTACAACCTCGCAGTTTTCTCATCAGTAAAATGTGAGGTTTTTTTTTTTTGAGACAGAGTCTAACTCTGTCACGCTGGGTAAAGTGCAGTGGTGTCCTCGTAGCTCACAGCAACCTTGAACTCCTGGGCTCAAGTGATCCTCCTGCCTCAGCCTCCCTAGTAGCTGTGAATACAGGCGTGTACCACCATGCCTGGCTAAAATTTTTCTATTTTTGGTAGAGACAGGGTCGCGCTCTTGCTCAGGCTGGTCTCCAACTCCTGACCTCAAGTGATGCTTCTACCTCAGCCTACCAGAGTGCTAGGATTACAGGCATGAACCACCATGCCTGGACAAAATGTGAAGTTTTATTAGTGTTGTGTATCCTAATTCTACCACTAAACTTTTCTAATTCAGCCCAGAACATCCTGTGGAAAGTGTGTCATGTGTCAGTAGGTCTCAGGCTATTTTTCAGGAGACTTATGAATTTGAAGGAACTTTCTCCAGGTGTGGAAAACACATAAGCTGTGTTCTCCTTTTAGTTGTAACACTAGTCCTCCACCCATATTTTTAGAGTTTTTTAATAGGCAAAAAGGAAAAAAGAATACAGAGGGAAGGTGACAGAAATATTTGGGGAGTTTCAAGTATCAAAGGTGTCAAGAAAGCTAAAAAAGAGCTGCTCCTAACCAAGTAAGAGAAACCCTCTTACAAAAACTTAACACTAAAACAGTAAGAATAGGTGGGAAACAAGTGTTCAGGCTTATTTTTTTCTTTATGTAGTATAATCTTTAATAAAACCTATATATGTACTTGGGGCCTCACAAGAACTATGATCTTAAAGAGAGTATTTGCATGCTTCATCAGTCAATAAAACAAATAATATCCTTGTCAAGGGCTGTGAGTTCCAAAGAACAGGATTTGGGAGTCTTGGTTTTTTCTGAGTTTCCTCCTGGGCAAACTCGTAAAACTCCTAGACAGATGGAATGGTTCACATCCTAGCCAGTCTTCTGTGACTAAAGTACTTTTATCTTGAAAGTATGTGCACAAATCAACACTTACCTTAGAAATGATTTTAAGTAGTTATCTGGAAAGGCAACATATAGGGAGTTGATGTTTGTTGAGTACCTAGTATATGATGGCCACCTTTACTATGTCATTTAATTAAATCATCCCCTAGTTCACATGATAATGAAATTGAAGCTCAGAGAGGTGATGTATAAAAATTCAAACATAGCCTCTCCCTGCCACTCCATCAAATCTGGGCTTTTCCCCGTCTTCCCTTTTCCCTCCCCCTAGAAACCCCGTCCCCAAAGTTGCTAGAGAGCAATCTATAATTTCTTTCCAAAGTGTTAACTCATCACTGCTTGGCACATAGTATTGATGAATATTCAGTTCTCTTCAGGTGATTCATGAATTTTCTCAAAACTTCAATATTTGTTAATGATCAAGTCAAGAATAAAGTTGAAATGAAAAATCTTTTATTGTTGCCTCAAGTTGGAATTATTGGGAATTGAACAGACTGCTCTTTAATCTTTGGAATTTAGACGAGTAATCTGTGTTGTGGTTTTGCTCTGGTTATTTGAACAACTGTGTGGCAACAGTGTGCTCTACTCTTGCATCATGTTACATCTCTTTGGTGTGAATGTTTGTGTTCCTCTAAAATTACAGGTGTCGTGGCTCACGCCTGTAATCCTAGCACTCTGGGAGGCTGAGGCTGGCGGATCGTTTGAGCTCAGGAGTTCGAGACCAGCCTGAGCAAGAGCGAGACCCCGTCTCTGCCAAAAAAATAGAAAGAAATGATCTGGACAACTAAAAATATATATAGAAAAAATTAGCCAGGCATGGTGGTGCATGCCTGTAGTCCCAGCTACTTGGGAGGCTGAGGCAGGAGGATCGCTTGAGCCCAGGAGTTTGAGGTTGCTGTGAGCTAGGATGACGCCATGGCACTCTAGCCCACGCAACACAGTGAGACTCTGTCTCAAAAAAAAAAAAAAAAAAAATTCGTATGTTGAAATCCTAACTCCCAAAATGATAGTTTTAGGAAGTAGGGCTTTGGGAGGTGATTAGGTTATGGAGGTGGAAACCTCTTGAGTGGGATTAGTGCCCTTATATGAGAGATCCCAGAGCATGATGAGATAGTACTGTCTATGAACCAGGAAGAGGGCCCTCTGTAGACACTGATTCTGCCTTGATCTTGGACTTGCTCACCTCTAAAACTGTGAGAAATAAATTCTGTTGTTTATAAGCCAGCTATTGTATTTCGTTATAGCAGCCCAGATGGACAAAGACATTCATTATTATATCACCCTACCTTTTGTTAACAATACATCTTCCCTGTAGTCTGTGACTATCAGGGCTGACAGGGAACATGGGGGAGAAGGGAATAAATATTTCCTGATTGCTTACTGTGTGTCAGGTGTAGGGCTAGATTCTTTGTGCGTATAATCTCACTTAATCCTCAGACAAGCCTAGATAGATAATGTTCTTCTTATTTGATTAATATAGAAATGGATTCTCAGATTAATTAATTTGCCCAGAGTCACAGAGCTGGTACAGATTGAGCATCCAAAATCCAAAATGTTCCAGAATCTGAAATTTTTGAGCACTGACATGATACTCACAGGATTTTGGGCTTTGGATTTTTGGATTTGCATGTTCAACTGGTAAGTACATGCAAAAATTCTAAAATCTGGAACACTCCTGGTCCCAGACATTTCAGATAATGGATACTCAATCTATAATATTAATATATTCAGGATTTGAACCAAGACCTAACTCTAGAGTCCATGCTTTTTCATTACACCGACTATACTAGGAGTGTAGGGCCTGGGATCATCATAAGGACTAAGCCTGGAATAAATTCCAGGGCATTTTTCGTCCTCTTCTGTTCTACACTTTCCCAGTATTTCTGTTCAGGTGGAATAGGCTTAGTGTGAACATCAAAAGCTGTCTTGACAGGGAAAAGAGAGCTTTGTTATTTTTTAAGTTGTTGTGGGTGGGGGAAGCTAGAAGCTAGAGAAGGATAGGATGAGAGAAGAAAGGGGTTGGGCAGCCCTTCTACTTTGTATTGGGTGGGCTGGGTTTCAGGGCAAAGGGAAATTGACTGTCATGTGGATGTACATGTGAACCTCAAAGAATTTTTAGCTTCCGTTAGGAAGGCTTCAGTAAGCTACCAGGGAAATCATCTAATTTGATGCACTAGAAAAATAAGAAAAGTTTCCAGAAGAGTCAGAGAGTTAAATGGAAAAAAAGCTGCGAGATAAAGGAAAAGACAGCTGTGTGAACACTGGCACGAAGATTGGGGTCATGAGGCCCCTTTCTTTGAATGGGATGATAAGGGATATTCAGTTCTGCAGTTGTTCATGGTGTTGCTGCAGAGTCCAGGCCCCGTGCAAGAGGCTCTGTAGAACTAAAAGAAAAAGGCCTTGGGAAATTAACAGGCTGATGGGGACAAAATAAAAATAGGTAACTGCAGTATCAAGTGGTGCAGGGGCCGTAAGGGAGGCAGCAGTGGTAGTGGAGACAGTGAAACTAACCTGGGTTTTATTCTGGTCCTTCATTAGGATGCTTCGTGACCCTGAGCAAGTTATGACTCCGGGATTCAGTTTCCTAATCTATAAAATGGGTACCTTGCAGCAATATTGCAATGATAGGAAATGTATATAAAATGCTTGACGTATAGTAGACTTTAATAAATGATCACAATTTGATTATTATTAAGTGCTGTGAAGTTCAGATCAGGAAAAGGAAGAATCTGGTTGGGAAGATGAGATTGGAAAAGGCTTTATTATGGGATTGATTGGGGTCTCAGAATGGATAGTGTCATGTAAGTAAAGAGTCAGCACCAGTGTCTGATCTCAGTTCCTTCCTAGTAGGAGCAGGAGCTAGGCATCTCTTACCCTGCTGCAGCCGGTCTGGGGCTGATGCCAAAGCCCAGAGGAAAACAACTAATTTCAAGTAAGCAGCAAGTTTCAAATAAGCAACAAATTTCAAATAAAGAGTCAAGTGATCAGGCAGATGAGGGCCAAACCCAGGGAATGAGAATTCGAGCCCAGGTCGGGCACCTAGCTGGCTACCCAGCTGGCTAGAAGTTCTGGGTGGCAGTCTCAGTGGAAGAGCAGGGCAGGGCAGCCCGGAGTGTCGGATCTGTGAGCTCCTCCAGCTTACCTTCGGCTTAGTGACTGGGGCAGGAGGTTGTGTATCCAGGTGGGTTTGAGATCCCCACAGAGAATAGACAGAGTAATCACTGTCTGCAAAGCGTGAACCCTCCTGGTGGTAGGTGTGATGGGCAAGTGAGGCGTACCAGCAGCCAACTCTCACAGGCTGAGGGCTCACTTAGATAAGTTCCCCACTGTGAACTTGCTTCTAATCAGAGAAAAACCAGCTCTGTGAATCTCCCAGGGTCTGCATGTTTGCTTTACTAATTGGGGTGTTTTCTATTCTTATTAAAAGCCACTTTTATTTGTCTTGAAGCTTATTTTTGAAAATGCCAAAAACACAAATACTATTTGTAATGTCACCATCTAGATGGTAACCACTGTTAATATTCTTGGTGTGTTCCTTCCAGGCTTTTGTCTATTCCAGTGCACATTGATGTACATATTCATGTTAATTTAAATACAGTGAGATTAGACAATGCTTGATGTTTTGGGAGATTTTTTTCTCATTTAAAATGTCATTACTTGTTTTCATTTTATATCATTTTAATGTATAGTATTTCATTTTATGAGTTTATACAGTTTCCCACTGTGGAACATTTACCCTTTATCTCATTTTTTTTTTTTGCTATTACAAATATTGGAATAAACACTTTGTATTTATCCCAAAACCTTCCCTCCCTCCATCTCTGATTGTAGTTTTCTGTTTTGCAGCATTGCTGGGAGCCTGGTGTATTCCTACATCACTTTCACTGAAGAACAGCTGAGCAAACAGTCAGAGGCCAGTAACAAGCTGGACATTAAGGGGAAAGGAGCGGTGTGATCAGAGGATTGCTTCAACTATACAGGCCCAAGGTTTTGAATATCTCAGAACACTGGCAGTTCCTACGCAGATACTGAGGTGTCTTCATGGAGAAAGTACTATTCCTTTGCACTTGTACAATCTGATGATTGATTGCTGCCTTTTAAAATTTTATGATGAGAGAAACTTATAATCGACTCTATTTTTAAATATGTTTTAATTAATTTATATCAAACTGGAAAACGAACTGGGCTTTTTAATTTATTTTTCTTCTATACTGACAGTGAAACATCAGTGTTTTGAAAATATTTTATTCCATAGTTTGATATCCAGGTGTCTCTGAGAGCTGCATACATAATGTGCTCCAACTGGAGTTTCGTCATTCAAATTGTTACTGCATCCGGAGGCAGTTTAGCCTCTCCTCTGCTGGAAACACAGCTGAGTATCTGAAATTTCTCTTCTTTTATTTCTTATGATTGCATCGTCTTCATAATACCATCACTGTGTTTGCCAAAGACAACAACTTTGGCACTAAAAAATTTGTGGGGCTCTGAAACGTGTTGTTGGCTTCCCTGAGAACTCACAGGATAAGCAGAGTGCATTGCTTGAAAATATGTTGTTCCTTCTTTGTTGTGTAGGATAGAGATAATGAAGGGATGGAGGAGGTAGGCTTTTCACTCGTGTTCATCTTTCTGACTCTTTGATTCATCTAAAGTGTACTGAGTGTATGTGCCAGGCATTGTGCTAAGTGCTGGGGATACAGAGATGTTCTGGGAGGTAGTTGAAAGATTTCTCTCCTGCCATAGTAACTGAAGGTAAGACTGAGAATTTAACTGTCAGCCCATTCAGAAGATGCTGTGACTAGGAGCAAGTTCTTTCAGCGTTGAGAAACTGCAAATCTGTAAATGGGATCAGAATCGCCTGCCCTACCTGCCACACAACAGTGTGAGTCCAAATGCTGCCATGTGGGATGAAGCGCATGTGAAGAGCTACAGTTTGTAAACCAATGCAGCTCAGCATTGATGCCTTCTCTGCGTGAGAATGGCAGACAGGCAAGGTGACCACCATCTGTTTCCCCGTGCCTCCTTCCTCTAGGTTTGGTTACTACTCTTTTTACTCCTCTTTGGATCAATATGATGAAGTCCCACATTTCTGAATTTGTTGGTTTGAGGGGAAAGGCTGGTTTAACATTTTTGTATTGTCAAGGTTTTGTCTTTCTCTGGCAGTGTCAGTGTTAGAGCTATCATCTTCCTTCCTCCTTAAATGGCATGAACAATGGGCATAGCTCTCTCCTTTGGACACTCCCACCTACACCGTATGTCCCTGGGCTCACTTAATGAGCTTGCCAGCTTCTCTCAAGACCAGTGCTTCACCATGGGAGAGTAGCTGTGAACAAGCACTGACTGAATTGCCCATTGGCAGGGCTGGTGGTTGGATGTTAACTCAAACACAGTCCTGTGACTTGACTCAGAGACATCATTGACTTTGGGGATGAGTGTGTTTGCTTGGGTCAGTTGCACAGTCAGTGTACAGGAGTCTGGGTGCCTTGGCACTGACGCACATGCTAGCTTCTATTTCATTGGGTTTGGAATCCACTGGGCTCTGTTGACGTAAACAGAATTTTGGTGTCTCAACAGGGAACCAGGAGAATTTTGATTTCTTTTCACTTGAAAAATTATATTGAGGTCATTTTCATATTCATGCCTTTCCCTTATTTTAATTTATATTTATTAAAGCCTGGCCAGTGGTAGTATGTCCCTAGAATTAGCCCTTTAGCCAGCTCTCATGTTACAAACTCCATATAAGAGACTTAGGCTTACTTTTTTCCAGCATCATTTGACCTGAGAAAATTCCACTGGGAGAACAGGATATTATCTTGAGTCAGATGGGTCTGATTGTCCCTATTTTGCCAGTGAGAAAACAAGACTCAGAAGAAGGTGACTTGCTATAAATCAAAATCCATGTTCTTTCCATTGAACCGTGTGGCCATTTGATTAACTGCCTTTCGCCTCTGAGGGAGTAAGGAAACAGAGATGCTAGCTGAGTTGGCTTGAGCTCTTTCAAAGAGGTAAGCAGTTGACTGAATTTGGGGTGAGAGAGGAACAGACTTTGCAAATCAGGGAGAGTGACAGTTCACTATGTCCTGGAGCCTTATCCAACTTCCGGGCTAACCTCAGTTGGTAGGCACTTCTGGCTATAAATGTTGCCTACCACTGCCTGTTTTTCTTGGGTAGCCTGGAAGGGCATACTGAGAGCTAATTTTAGTGATTCTACCAGCCACATGAAGGGGGAACATTAGAAATATTTTGTATTGTAGAATTTCATCATGAAAGGCCTTTCGATGTGTTTAAGGGGTGTTGGGCTAGAGCCCCACCAGGGGTTGAACTGCTTCTTGGGGGTCAGGTTCCCTTGGAGGTCTGTTACCTCTTCAGGTTTATTTGAGAAAATCATGTATAGTTATAGCTTCACTAAATGCACATGACAGGCCTCCCTACCTCAGAGCCCCTGGCTTATTCTGAACCTTCTGGCTGACCAGAGCAGTATGGCAACTTACAGCTTCTGCCCTGTCCATGTTCTGATTCCTGGATGCATCCCTCAACTGCCACCAGCATTTCAAGGTAATAGGGAGAAGCCTGGGCAAGTTGGAGATTGAATAGACTGGCCAACCACTTTAGGAATTTGTGTTTTCAATTATTTGTAGGCATGGTGTAATATACTAGAGATTTACCTATTAGTCTGGCACCTCCCAGAATATCTGGATTTTGCCCCAAAGTTGGTATCTTACTGGGCCAAAATTCTTTGACCTGTTAACTACTACCTCCTGGGAGAAAAAGAGTCAGTATAGAGTTAAATCTTTAATTTGTCCTGTGAGAGATGAGCTATGGTAAGAATTCTGAAAACCAAATTCTATGACTGGTGGCTCCTATTCCTTGAGTTAATGAAAGTGGACGTCCTCTTTGGCCAGTCTGCTTTTAGTCAGTGCCACATGGATTAGAATAACCTTGGTTGGCCAGACTGCACATGCCAACATGTCACATGAGTTTTAATTACCCCATGTGGCTATTGACTTTATGAGTCAACCATTTGTAGGATCCAACTTGCATGTAAGTTAAAAAAGTGCATTTGCAAGTTTTCTTTAGTCCTTTTATATCAGGAATCCATGGAAGCTTTTGGTTAGTAAAGATGATGTAAGATCTTCACGGAAGGAATAGCAAAGTTTAACATTTGATTGATTTGAAATAATACCTAGGACTTTGGGCCTAATTTTGCTTTCATTATTATAGTCTCACGTTCAGTGAGCGAAGATTTAATGAGCAGCTGTTACATGCCAGGCATTTTGCTAAGGTCTGGGAAACAGATAAATAGGACATGGTTCTCGCTCTCATAGAGTATATGTGTCATTACAGGGAATATATAAGGTGGTGGTCTGGACCCTAAATACGAGAAAGGAAACAGGTGAAAGGAGTCAGTGATTTGTAAACAAGAGCTGCCTGCATAGTGATCAGTATCACGGATTCTAGGGGTGCCCCACCAGTAGAACTAAAGCATTTTTTTAACCTGAGAGGACTTCTCTAACTCATGTTAGTCTTCTAGCTCTGAGATAGTGACTAGCATTCTATTAATATCAATAGCCTGGGTTCCTCCTCCTCTACCGCACATGTTCTTGCTTCCCCGTAACTGTCTAATATTGGTTCCTCCTTTGAACAAGACTGTAGTTGATTTCCTCTCTCTGAGGAAAAAATACTCAGAATAAATGAGATAATGGATATAAAACTATTTAAAACTTAGCGCAATGCCTAGTACATATTAGGCACTCAGCAAATGTAGCTACTGTGTCACTATTTCACGGTGAGATGACAGGCAAAACAAGATTCTTAATTTGTGCTCCTTAAATGCTAGAAGCAATCTGTGTATTTCCTGAAAAACATGACCCTGTACCTCACTGCCTCTAGAATGCTCAGATAACAGTTTCTGTTCACTGTCTTTTCTTTTTTAAAAATACCTGCTGGACATAATTGTGGCCATTATGTGATGCAGGTGATTCTACCTGTTTTTTAAAAATAACAAAATTACTTTTATATTATGATGGTGAATTTTAAAAAAGGAAAATTATTTTCTATCTTAGAGGAAGATGATTTCTTTTTAGAATGGTAATTCACTTAAAACTTTCTCAGTTTTTCACTTTAAGATAGCTCCTGTACAGGCTGGGCATTCCTTCTTCCCTTCTCTGAATTCAAGAACTTGACTAACCGCGGCCTCTGCTTCCAGGCTTGTCTCCCTTGTCAGTATATGTGAGTCTCTGGTGCCACCACCGTTTTCTAAACCCGTCTTCTAGTTCTTACTTTGAGGGTGCCACTTCATGGTATGAGGAGATGTTATACAGTGGGTTTTTTTTTTTCTTTTAGCTTTGTTTTTTGAAAATACTTTTTAAAAAGAAATCTACTGGTTAGATTTATTGTCTCATAAAAATGTTTTTAGAGATTATTTTGTTCACAAGTATTTACTTTCTCTTGATGATGATCAGCTGATTTTGGTCTACAGGTGTTAGCCTCTCACAATATTTTTTCAGTATAGATTCTATTATATTTACCGAATGACCATTTTAGTGTTTTTAAAAGGTTTTAGGTATGGAAATCAGGTGACATAAACATGAAAATTATGTGCCTAAATATTTTTGTAATGATGTAAAATAAATACTTTTTCCTGAAAAGATGTATTAATTTCCTTTCTGAGTGCATGCAGAGACTAATACAGAGCCGGAAGTCTGCCCACATTTAAGAGGCTGGCATCCAGTTAGTTAATTGAGATCTAATAATAGGGAAAATACTGTTTTCCATACAAATGGTTGTCTTGAATAGTACATATGACTAAATATCCAGTGTCTTTGGAATACTTGTGGTAAATTGGAAGGAAGGGAAAGGAATGCTAACTTGTCTGCTTTCAGGATATTTCATCTGCATAATCAGGTTTTTAAATCTCTGAGTAGCTTCACTAGAAAATAACCCAAAAATATGCTCACCAGAGTCGAGGGAGGGGCATTTTGGTATGGACATACTCAACAGAGATAGAAGTACATTTTATGGCATGTCACAGGAAGAAGCACATTACAGCATTTTTAAAGAAACTGTGGTAACATACACATAAAATTTACCATCTTAACCGTTTTTAAGTGTACAGATCAGTAGTGTT